ATCGTCCAAGAATCTCCCATATGAGAGCTTGTATCGGGAGTACTAGAACATTCATTGGAGAGTCGATCGGTCTCCCCAGTCGGACGACTGTGAGCGATTGGAGCGCTAGGCTCAGGAGGTTCGACGGGAGTAGGCTCAGGAGCGGAATAGGGAGGTGGCGGGGGAGGAGGAGGAGGAGGTACGTGGGATGGAACAGGCCATGGCGCTGGATAATGAGGAAACGTTGGTGCCATGATCATGGTTTGCTCGGCCCCTCTCTGTATTGCCCACTGCCTGGCAAGTTTTGCTAGATCATCCGGACCTGTGGAGTTTTGGAAGGGCCACGCCTGAGTCGTAAGTTGGGCACTTGGCCAAACATTGCCGTGCGGGCCAGGCCACATTTTGGGAATTAAGGGAGAGTAGCGGTATGGAATTTTAGGAGAAAAATAGAAATAAAGGTCCAGAGGGAGGGGGCGACAGGGGGAGGACGGACGCGGCGCAGGGGCTATTGGTTTAAAGACAAGAGTAAAGACACAAGTGTCGTAACAATTGTAAATTAAGATTTTTAATCATTAATTTGCATTTAATGCTTAAATTATTTTTATTCGTAATATTTTTGCAATATGTCAAATTTGAAATTCATCCATTGATGTTTATTTATTATCTCGATTTAAGATGCGGTTGAAACTTATAGCAATTTTTTGCCTTAATTAGGGGTATACGCATAGTAAATGTTGGCTAGTCAAGCCTGGCGCTTGACTCTTCATAGCTTTCGCCGCATTTGTGTGAGATTTCGCACAAGTATTTGCTAAGTTTATAGTATATATTTAATCAATCTCGGATAGTATTGATCAACTCATGCTCATGCGGTATTCGGTTATAAACTGCCCGATCAAATCTGGTTTTAGAACATTCCTCCTCTGCCTCATTAATTACTTAGTGAAATGAGTTTCTAGTTATATGACGCAGTTAGCTGACGGTTACTTCAATATGTCTCTTCTCTTTTCAGGTTTCGATAGTTCTCACATACTATTTATCGAGAAATATCAAGGTGCATTATCACCTCTATTAGGACATTTACTTTTCTTCTTTCGCACCCTCGCGTGACTATACAGTGCATCATTATTTCACTAAGGCATTTTTGGGAACTGTTGGAGTACCTTTCATTTCGATTGAAGAGGTGAGTGGAAGAGATTCTTAAGTTGGTTCTAGCGAAGATTATGGGGGGTTGTCTCGGAGCTGATGTTGTAGATTTGTGCGAATAGTTCCTCTGTGCAAGCAATGCTCAACCTATCTATAACTACCATTGCTCCTCCTTTCTCTGCCCTCAGTACCATTTAGCCCTCATCACCCAGTTTCCTTACGATATTTTTTATTCTTTTATTCCTGGGTGTTGTTTCCCAATTTTATTAGAAGAAGGGAGTAGGTTTGAAACTGGACACCTTTATTGTCTTCGTGTTTTAGCGAAGTATCGTTAACGATGGTGTCTTGCTCTGTCGATGTCCGTGACATGACGGACGAAAGCTCAGCAAGGATTCATCGGGGTCGCAGGGCGATGCGCCGAGAATCTATTCGCACAAATCTACAACCACAGCTCCACGGCAACCTCCCCACGAACCCCTTTTACTCGTCTCTTTAAACGAAATAAAAGGTACTTCAATATGAGTATATTAAGGGATTATTCGAAACCCAGTTTTTTTACATTGTTGGGAAACCTTACGTTTTTTGCCGTCTTCCATAGCTTATTATTGTCATTTATCTTGAATACATTAGCCTTCTGCCTTTTTACTGTCAGATCTCGTAAATGAAATCAATTAAGCCTCATAATAATATAAACTCCGATTAAAATATATGAAAAATGATGGATTTACTTGATTTTGTTATTTATGCTCTCAAGTTAATCTGATTCAGGTCAGCATTAAAATTTGATTTCAATATGTACGACTTAAACTAAAGTCATTTTAATTTTTACTTGAACTAATTTATATCAACTTAATTTTCTTTCAAGAA